CAGGAAGAGTGGCTGATGAAGCACTGAGAATGATTAATATCAAGCTGTTAATACACGCTAAGTAGAAGTTGATGCTGCTCATAAAATTCGTGAAGCTCTTGTCTAGCATTTCCACCACTGACCAAACTTAGATAAGAAATAAAACGGCTTGCCCAAGACATGAAATTGGTCAAAATGAGATCGAAACGTGTACCTGAAGGAAATCGTCGTATTCTTATGCACATGCATAAAATCAGTCAAATGTAACCCGTCAGTTCTGATTTAAAAAGTATAGAAAAAATCGCTGATAAATTAGAAATAGACATCATCAGTCTTCGAGATAACGACAGAAACAAAGAGTTAGAGACTAATTCAATGTTGTATTGTATCGTGTAATCAAAACTATCTACCTTTTCAAGTGACATATTTCAAGCGTTGGATCGTTGCTGAGAAGAAAGATTAAAATATTGTTTCACTTCGTAGATGTATATCGACAGAAGTAAGACCTTTCTTTTATGAATATTTCGTTTAAAACAGATATCCTCACACGATCTCATAACAATTTTATCTAAATATTAAAGGTAACTTGTGTTTTCCCTTTTAGCGTCACTGCCTAATTCTCCCACTCTTTGTTACGGACCAACCGTAGCAAAGATCTATGTGTTAACATTATATTTGGAATGTGTTTAACCAGGTCTATCACATAATGTAATAGTAGCTAACCACAACATTGTCCTTTAAAGTATCAGTGTTCGGTAGTAGTACTAATAAAACTTGTGTCAAAGTTAATTTAATGAGTTATGATCAACCGATTTGTGTAACATTTATTGTATTTACTGTGACTCGTATACGTTGAAATGAAGACGCCAAATTTAAAATGTCCCCCCCCCCCCCTTTAGCTATTATCGCTTCGATTTAAAAGAGATGGTTTGTACCCGTATCAGGTAGGATCATATGCTTAAATGTACATGTAGTCGGATAATAGAAATAAACAATCGTTGTTTTGAAAAAAGATATGACAGTTTTGCTTATTGAACTACTATCTGATTCACATCGTACTTTGCAAGGTGAAACTATATAGTGCCATCTCTTATCTCGAAAAAATCAAAAAAAAAATCACCAAGAAACCGATTGTTCATAATATGGAAACCGTATGTAAAATGCCATAATAAGTAAAACACTTTTTGTAGAAACTCAAAATTTCAATAATAATAATAATAATAATAATAAATAGTGCACTTTTAACGCGCTAAACTCCATACACTAAGTATATGCTCATAGCGCTACAAAAATTCTGATGACATGTTTGTTTATGTGCTATAACAGTTTTATGTCTCATAGTATTCTTTAAACAGGTGTGTTTTTAATAAACTCTTGAATTGCAATAAAGTTTGTGCATCTTTAACTTCTGATGGTAGTTTATTCCAAAATGTTGCTGAGTTATACTGGAAAGACCGCTGTCCAAATAAGCTTAATTTGACTTTTGGAACACAAACTAAGTTTTGGTTAGCCGATCGTAGGACGATATTTTGAGACAAGTTCCGATAGATAACTTGGTGCGGTTTGGTGAAAACACTGATATGTGAGTGAGAGGATTTTAAATTTCACACGGGCCTCCACTGGAAGCCAGTGAAGTTCCCTAAGAACTGGCTTTATATGTGCACACTTTCTCACAATTCTCGCTGCCGTATTCATGGTACGCTGCAGTCTATTAATTTGTTCTTTGGGCAAATTACCCAACAGACTGTTGCAATAATCTAATCTTGAGAGCACAAGGGATCGCACAATGTGGTGAGCAGCATCTCTTGAGATCAGATTTCTTATGGATCCTATGTTACGGAGGTGAAAGTGACAAATGCGATTAATGTTGGTGATATGTTGTTCCATTGATAAATTTGAATCCAGGTGGACCCCGAGATTTTTCACTTTGTTTAAGAAATCTATCTGTGATTCTCCAATACGGATGGATGAATGATGAACATTCGCAATTCTACTCTTAGTTCCAACTAGCATGGCTTCAGTTTTTGAGGCGTTGAATTTTAGCAGATGAGTAGTCATCCATGTTTTGACAATGTCTGCACAGTTTTCAATATAAGTTACGGCTATGGCGGAGTTACTGGGTTCAAATTGATGAAGGAGCTGCGTATCATCAGCGTAGAAGTGGTGAGAGAGATCGTTATCAGAGAGGATTTTACCTAGTTCTCTGGTGTACAGAGTGAATAGCACGGGGCCAAGAACCGATCCTTGTGGTACACCTTGATGTAGAGCTGATTTATCAGAGGAAACACCATTAACATGAACAGATTGCACACGATCAGTCAGATAAGATGTAAACCATGATGATACAATACCTCTAATGCCAAAGTCATGTGATAGAGACTGTATTAGTTGGCAATGATCGATTGTATCGAACGCAGCCGATAAATCGAGTGGGATGAGTAGACTGACCTCACCATTGTCGGCAGATATCTGAAGTTCGTTACAGACACGTAAAAGTGCAGTTTCGGGGCTATGACCAGGCCTATAAGCGGACTGGAATCTATCCAGTAATGAGTGCCTTGAGAGGTGTGATGACAGACGGGCTTTTACTGCCTTTTCCAACACTTTCGACAAAAAGGAAAGATTTGAAACGGGTCGATAATTGCAGAATTGGTTGGCATCAAGATTGGCCTTTTTAATAAGGGGCTTCACAACTGCTTCCTTCCAGATTCTAGGAAATGTGCCAGATTCCATGCTTAGATTTATTATCCGTTTAATAACAGGTAGTAGTGTTTCTAAATGTAATAGCAGAATTTTGGTGGGCACAGGGTCCAACACAGATGTTGTTGGTTTGCTTCCCGAGATTAATTCCTTGATCTCTTTTTCGGTGAACGCATCAAAGGCAACCAATTCCTCACCACCAAACTCAGTTGAAGAATTGTCTATGACTTGATTATTCATAGCCGATATTTAGGTGTCAAGAACTTGTCTAGTATTTTCAATTTTCTCGACAAAGAAAGAGTTGAAAGTATTGGCCAATGTTTCATCATCGTCGTGTTCTGGCAGGATGTTTGTTTGTTTCCCATAAGAGAAAAAACAAAATCAAACAAAAATTTGGGTGAATTTGAGTTATCTGCTATTTTTGAAATACAATATTCTGATTTAGCTTTACGAATAACTGATGTGGTATGGGATTTAGCATGGTTAAAAATTTGTCGATGTATTTCTAATTTAGAGTGCCGCCACTGTCGTTCAGCAATGCGTCTCTTGTTTTTGGCTTGGTGTACATCCCCGTTATACCAGTGTGAATTCATTTTACAAGAGATAGTCTTAGTAGTGCTTGGGGCATGTTTATCTAAAAGTTCGGATAGTGTATCATTATAGAGTTCACAAAGAAGATCAAGGTCGTCAGGTGAATCGCTAATGAGACGGGAATTTTTAAGATCTAAATCAAACGAACTGTGATCTATCTGTTTCAATTTACGGCATTTTATTTTTGTTTTAGTTGTGGCGGAGGAAGAGCATCAATAGAAAAGTTGATGAAGAAATGATCGGACATTTGCCGGTCGAGAACTGTTAAATTATTTATCAATTTGATGTCACTTCTTATTAATACGCTATCTAGGATGTGACCGTTTTTATATGCACATGTTGGAGCAGGTCGTGAGTCTGAAATAATCTTGTAAATCGTTTGATCTCAGGCTTTTCTGGTTCATCAAAATGTAAATTAAAATCACCCATAATCAATAAGTTTTTCTGAAAACGCTTTGATAAAAGTGTTTCCAATTCCGGATAGAACATTGTACTACGAATTGCATTTGCTTTTGAAGGAGGGGGACGATAGATACAAATCATTCGTAACAATAGACTTGATATTTCAAACGATTGATACGATTCTGAATTTGGTTTCATGAGCTGAAGTTTAAGAGAAAGTTTATGTAGCACAGCAAGTCCACCCCCGGTTGACGTTATTCGTGGCATACTAATTAGTGTATAACCTGGAGGGGTCATTTCTGTGATAATCGATTCATCACCGTTTACCTTTAGCCACGATTCTGTGATAAAGAGGATGTCAAGATCATCCTCAAGTAAGGTATCATATACATCAAGTGTCTTGTTACGTGAAGATTGCGCATTCCACAAAGCAATTCGCAAAGAGGATGACTTATGTTTAGAAAGACTTGGATTAGATTAGAGTAATTAGTTCCTTTAATTTGTCTATTTTCCGGTAGGTTCCTTCGAGTTGAAATAACACGTATTCGACGCCTCTTATTTCGTCCCGCTCGGCAACCTCTTCTTTTTGATTTAGTTTGAGACCTTCTTAGTTCAGGGATATTTTCCAACAGTTGTGTGTTTAATGGTTTTTGTTCATGTATGTCAGCTTTGATAAGAAATAACTCTTCTCTGCTGTAAGTTATCATGGTGATCAAAGGTTCAGTGACTATAACCTGTTTAAACAATTGGTGAGTAGAGATCTGCCCACAATGAGTTAGCTTTATTGACTGTTCTGAAGTAAAATGGAGGTCAGTAGTGAGTAGAAATTCACTAATACACAGTATAGTATGCAATAAAACTATTGATATCTGCATAATCCAAAATAGTTTGAACACAAAATCTGCACAAAATGATGCACAAGATAGTCACACACAACTTGGCACAAATTCATGCAATGAATTCATCTGGAACTTGTGAAATATTATAAAAATATCAGAGCACATAAACACTGCAGCCACTCAGGGCGCTGTTACTCCATACAAATCATTTTGTTGAACACCGCACGCCCGTTTTGGGTGCAGCTTTAAAAAAAAAAACTGGTGAATTTTATCCATTAGTCACGTCCCATACCTGTAAAACCTCTTAATAGATATCCAGAATTATCCGTTAAATTTATATAATATTGATTACTCTAAATGGGCTGCAGAATAATCAGAAAAAAACTCCCAGTATCGGAGCTGTGGACCCTTTGAAAATCATAATATATGATGTAGTATTCGTTTTATTATAAACAGTTTACAAATAAATATGTATTACAAATAACACTTTCTAAGAAATAATTCTTAAAAAATCAAAAAATATAATATTCGCCAAATATTTTAACAGGCCAGCCAATAATTTTATATACATATATAAAGAAGTATCCGAAAAATTCAATCTGATTAAAATACATATATTTATATTTCGTTTCGTTTTTTTTTTCTATACTTTGGATGGCCTCTACTATACAGCGTTGATGTTTCTAGTGGGTTACCCACAGCTCAGTGCACCTCACGCCAAAAACTCGCTAATCCCTCACATCATCCAGAACGCGGGTTATAAAATAACTCTTCCAGATCCTGGTGTAGCAAAGACAAGTAAAACGAAAGTTTGAACTATAAAAAAACAAAACGAAATAGGATCTGTGTTTTAATCAGATGGGGACAAATTAAAACGGGGATGAATTTAAATCGCTAAATGGGGATAAACCTGAATTTATCCTTTTCGGCCCCAAAACTCGATTATCAAACAAAAAATTAGACATGCGGGGTAATTAAAATTACGCCAAAATGCAGTATTAAAACATACATGTGTATTATTGTATAGGGGCCTGGCCTTTACAAGTTGATCTGTGAAGAAAATGCTACTGTCCTCTGAAAACTTAGCGATGGTCGTCGTCAGGTCTTGGTGAATCGGCAGCAGGTCTTGTTGAAAAGGCATCAACTCGACCTCTAAAGCCCCCAGCACACCAAAGCACGACACAAAGCCTTTCCACAGTTTAATAGCATCTCTTCGACAATATAATGGCCACAGATTAAGTTTGAACTGACTTGAATAAGACTTAAAGCAAAATGCCTTTATAACTCACTTTTAATTGTGTATTTAAACTCCATACTAAACTTGAATTCTGGGACTTTTACATTTTTCTATTTGGCCCATAAACAATAAATTCACATTCCTATCCAACCCGGATAGAAGTAATCTTTTTTATCCGCTGAGAATTGTTTAGCAAATTGACTACCGATTTTTGCAATATCAGCAAAATAGAGTGTTTCTCCATTACAGAGCCACGCCGCCCAATACCCAAATGTCCCAACTGTTATTATAGTATGGTTTAATAAAGACATAATAGCCAAGTCTATTTCCCGTGAATTATTTTCTATATATACAATATCCAGTCCTTTAATGTTCTCTTTACACCATTTCATATCGTTCGAAAAGACAAAGAAAATAACATTTTCGTATTTGTCCATAAAATATTTCTTGGCTTTGTTAATATACGTCATATTCGCTACTTTATATCCAAACGTAGCAAAAGGATCAATTAAATAATTACCGCGACGCACGTGAATATTAACTAAAACATTAGGTTTCATTTTTGAAGAAACGTTAAAACGTTCTAATTTGTTTGCAATCTGAGATCTAGCTCTAGCGATGACGTCACCACGGAATATAAATTGATGACGAAGTTCAGCTTCTACATGTTTGAAATATTTCCACGATTGTAAATAATGTATAAATTTATAATCACGCCCGGGTGATAGATTAAAGAAACTTTCATCAAATGCTAACGCCTGCTTTTCTTTTATTATTTTCACTTTAGAACAAACATTGGGATCCGTTGAAATTCTCGCAACTGGCTGAAATAATTGATATATATTCGTATTTGGAGTAAGAACCACATCTGCATTTAATCTTCTAGCCAGTCCGTAAGCTGCAGCATACTGGAACAGGTTATTACCTAAACCTCCGGTAAATTTCGGACATACAACATTTGTATGATTTAAATTCGTTGTTTTATTTTCTAGGTTGCCTTTTGCGATTGATTTCGTTTTAACTGCAGGCGAGTAATGTAGAAAATCGTTGACTTGTTTAGTTATGTCTGTAAGGAGTGGGAACTGCTGCACTACTGTGTTTGTCTTCTCTTGAGGAAGAGATAACGCTTTCTGTCTGGGGTTGAAACTGTTTTGCCGGTTGAATATTTGTAGAAGAAGTATTACAAGGACAGCAGACACCGACAGAATTACACAAAATCTCCGAACTGTAATAAATAAATAAATAAATACACAAAAAGGGTTAAAATACCTGTTCCCGTCTCAAACACGCATTACATTAAACCTGTTACATAGATTATAATATTGTTACCGGGAAGAAAGAAGTGTTTATTTTATGAATAATACAGGCTATCTTAAGGCAAGGTACTTTTTAAAAATATAATTTATATGGTGTTAAAGATACATTATGGGAGATTAGATCAAGAGCTGGCAGTTCTCACTATAATAGTTAAAAGCTAAAAATAATGTAATGGGAATTTGCTGAAAATGTCATTCAAATTGATCCACTCTGAACCGAGAATTTTTCGATAACAAACATAGTCTCGATTATCCGTTTTCTGATTTAATCAAGAACAGGCGTTGAGCAGCTGATTATAATCCAGTAGATATCGCAGGCTAACGATGACATCGGGAGTTGATTATGGTCTGGATAAGTTAAATAATGTCTAATTAATAATTTAGATAACATTTCAGGACTAAAAAAAGACCTGCAATTGGCATATTTAGCCCTTGCATAATGTATGTTTAAGGAGCAGAAAGCAAACCTTAGGTGACATTCTTCATCATAAAGACGCATATCTTTAACATTTTCACGTTTTTTTTTTGTCAACCAAGGAAAACCGTATTTACTTACCAGACAATCTACAGATTTTAATCATCTCCACCTATTCAAGCTACCAGTTGGGAATGCCTATCAATAAAAATATACAACTAACTATAGTTATTTATGTAAAAACGTTAGTGATAAGGATTGTGTAAGATTTAGATAAAGAGCTGGTCGTTCTTGCTATAAAAATGCAAAAATAGATAATCAAAAATGGCGAACGTGTTTGAATGAATTGAAAATCGCGACCAACCGACGTTCTAGAGACTTGATTATGGGCTTGTCATGTTAATAAATGTCTAATTAATAATAATAACATATTAGGCCAAAAGAAAGACCTGTAATAGGTGGCTTTGGTTCTTACATGATGCATCTTTGAACAGAAGGTCAAGGCAAAATTTCCTTTATTACGATGTTCGTCTTTATTAGCTTGTTTGGACTAGAACAGACTCAGACACATTAATGACTTCCTACTAGTGTGTTCACAACATTGTGTGTATTTGTGTCTTATGCTATGGGCGGACGAGCGTATTTATTCGCCTGATCGCAGGATCCGAAACAAATGATTCTTGCTTTTTATGAAAGGTCTATTTGAGTACAACTTCAGGGATCAAATTCACCGAAATCGGCCTGGGCGAAAAAAGTTACAGGAGTTCTAGTTTTCGTTCCCGTTCGACTTCTAAAATCCACCTTTTCGTCACTTTTTTCGACATGCTGAGAATATATTTGTGAACCACCTTTTCCGCAATTAGACCAACGACAAAATCAGAAAATCCCCATGTTGGGAAATTCTAATTGTAATCCTACGTGCAGACGAGCGTATTTTTTCGCCTGACGACACCGATTAAAATTCGTCAGCGATTTTGTACAGCCGATCACGAGTTGTGGATATAATCATTTTATCAACAATTCATGAACATGAGGCAATCGGATTAAAATACAGATCTATATTTCGTTTCGTTTTTTATACTTTCGATGGCCTACACTACATGAAGATCTGACCAGTTTTACTGGATGGTCGCGTCAGGGGTCGTACCAGCGGCTTTTGACCCTATGACGTTAGACTTGATTAATCAATCAGCGTTGACATTTCTAGTGGTTTACCAACAGTTCCGTGCAACGCACGCCAATAACTCGTCGTAACAGACCGTTTCATTGGCTAATCCCTCACTTCAACCAGAACGCGGGTAATATAACAACTCTAGCAGATTCTAGTGTAGTAAAACGAAATTTTGAACTATAAAAAACGAAACGAAATAGGATATGTGTTGTAATCAGATTGTAACATGGTATGTTATGTAGATCTGTTGTTATTAAAACTAACGAGGTCGAAATTTCCCATTTAACGCATAAATAATAAGTTATGCCATTGAATGAAGTGGTGTGGTTTCGATTCTCCGTTTCTTTAACTATTTGAGCATAGTTAGTTAATGTCCCATTTTAGCCAGTCCCACATCTCAATTTCTAAAGACAGCACAAAATATATAGGTCAAAACTACCGAAATTGTTTCAAAAATGCATCTTTTTTCATTAAATAGAACGCTTCTGTGAAAATATAATAAAATAAATGCATAGAAAATGGAATTTTGAGGAGCCTGGGAAAAAAAAGAACCATAATTCTATTGCTAATTGTATAAAATGAGCCTACTTTGCGGCGCTCATATTTTCCTCGCTCGCAGCATTATCCCGTTCATGTTTGCTGTGGAAAATGAACAAATTCTCTTTGCTCAATTTCCGATCTTCACCGACTTATTGAAGAAATGTCAAGATGTAGCCTATTTAATGTCCGATTATATTAAATACGAGTTTCGCTCTGATACGTGAAGTAGTAATGGGAATAGTGATTCTTGGGAATCATAGGGCGATTTAGACCCACCAAAACCGACTTCGATTTGCTTACGAAGAATGAAGTATTTATTTTTGAGAATTATTTATTACATTATATTAGTTTAAATTTTTTAAACCGTAGATTTTCAAATTTTCAAATATGCCCTACATTTTGGGATACCTGAAGACTGAAGTCAATCCGATCCCAGAAATATGCCTCTGCCTCTTTTGAATTGGCCTATTTCTTTTTGATAATATTTAATTACTACAGTATAAGGATAGTAATAGCAGGGCCGGCGGAGGGGGTGGGGCTACCGTCCTAGGACTCTAGGATTATGGCCCCTGATTGTACGAAAACTCACATTTTTAGCTTGTGGACCATCTAGAGGTCACAATTTTTATTGATTGTAAAAACCGTTCAAATATATCACAGTTACACCATAACGGCGGAGTACAAATTCAAAGTTTAAATGGCCGCCACCCCCCCACCCCCATTACGCAAATAGTGTAAAAGCTTATAATACCCAGGGCGACCTTCGGATGTAAACTGTGGTCGCGACTACAGTCTAAACCAGCACCTGAACACAAATGGCCCGGACCATTGGCTATTCAAATTAATGGCGGCGCCCATGTCAGTTGTTTCGCCTGCTATATTTTCTGCTGTTTACTCATTTCGAAAACTATATTTTTGACGAAGGGGATGAAGAAATGCTTTTAAAACATTTTCTTACAACACTGACTCCATCCGGGTTAACTGGTGACATGGATCATTTCAAAGTTTTTTGAAGTGGGCCTATATATATATATATATATATATATATATATTCGAATAAGAAGATCTTAATCTGTCACTCGAATAAAAATCAAAGTTGTTAATATCTATACCCTAACCCCCATTCTCTAAATTCCGGGTGTTACCATGCACCCTGAAATACGGTACATGGTGTAAATAACACATTGGCAATCGGCAATTTTATATTTTTCAGACAAATCTACACACGTATGAGCCTTTTCAGCCATCCTCGAACTATCCCGACCATGTTGTAACAATTTTTATCCGATTTCCATGAAACTTAAAACGAGTGTTGGGTGATTTCAAGTTTGATGCGCATCGGACCCTCCGTTCTAAAGTTATGCCAAATACTTTTTACGCAAAATGTGACATATGAAAGAAGTTTGTGGACCTCCTAGAGGCGACAATTTTTCTCGGATTCATGAGATAAAAATTAGACTATGTGTTGAGGATCAAAAGTTCTTGGATGATTTTCACTTTGGTACCCAATAAACCTTCCATTGCAGAGCATATCCCGTAGTGTTTCAATTAGCCAATCTGTCATAGATACAACGGAAATGAGATGAAATGAAATATGCGACTGCTCAGTAAAGTTAACTAATCGCGACCGTCGCAACTGGGGGATGTGGGGTGGTGTGGAGGGGGGGGGGCGTAGGGTTGAGTGGAGGGGGGAGGCTCTTAACCCAGAGATCAGTATAGAGCATAGCAGTGTTTTTTTTTCTTCCGAAAGTCTACGTTCCTCGTCTAGAAGTCTCACTTCTATGTCAAAATCAGGCCTCGTCCAGTTACGTCACTGTATCTAACTGAATGGTTACTTGCGCGCAATAACCTGGAGAAATGGGTACTTGCGGCCGAATTATTGGCGTAGCCTAAATGACTAACGTATCAAGTACAATCACATATTTTTATGGAAATACTTCATATCACTTGGCTAGATCAAGTGTTGACACAAATAAGCATTGATGTAATAATGTACGATATAAGAAATAAAACAATAAATTAATATTAATCATACGATTGGCATGTTCAACAGACAGGCCATATTGTTAGTTACTTTCTATCAATAAAAGTTTTATAAACAATAAGGGATTATAATACATTAACATGTCATTAGAATTACGTAACGTTTCACCCTTGGCAATAGTCACCTTTCAATAGCACACACACACAATGTTTTGAAGAAATATAATAATTATTGTCCTTAGAGTTTACATGTATACAGAATTCAATTTGATGACTTTCATTTTTAAAATTAAAGTATTATCTGAAATATTCTAGATTTAAATGGAACTACTATAACCAGCACGGTTATATTATTACGAAACAGCATGTTCGATTGTCAGCTACAGGTGCACACAATATTAATTTGAGGCTGTTCATTTTAATAGTAAGCACAGGAGGACCGCACTACATGCAAACAATACCAATAGGACAAACCGGCGGACAAACTACAGACGTTGCAAGCCATTAACAAATACCAAAATGAAAAAGAAAACAGTGATTTACAAGAAAGATGCAATAGAAATAATGCTACCGTGTTGACAGTGATTGTCTCCTGAATTGCGTTTTTTGATGGTCATAGTATACCAGTGGATGTCAAAATATTAACAATAATAAGGGAGATAATCCGAGTAGAATTTCGGAAAACAATAAAATGCATTAAACAGATAGGAATAAAGTTCAATCCACCGACGAGAACCTTCTTCGGTGACAGTGACACAGAGCATGTCTAAACGTGTCTTGAACTGACTCCGGAACGCTGGTCTGATATTGGAAATTTGTTGATGAAAAATAATATCATAATCATTGTAGTTTAGACTTGTAAATTGAATATTATAATCAGGTGTTATTATTTTTTCAGGCCTCCAATAATAAAAAGAGGGTTGCGTTCGTTTTTCACTTTGGAATATGATGAAAATTTTAAAAAATCGTTGCTATGATAATTTTTAGCTAATCTAATGTGTCTTGATATGTTAAACTAAGAAAAGCATATTTTAAAGTGACAAACTTTTGTGAATCCAAGAGTATTTTAGAAAAGTTATTGTTAAAATTAAATATTAACGTATAAGATTATGTTAAAATTGAGCCAAGTGCTATTATTTCTTCTCTGATAAGAGGTTTCCGCCAGGGTTTCCCCCTTTTAATGTGATATAAAACCAATTATTTATAAAACAGTAACTGGTTATCATGTTAACCGATATTTGGGCAATTCAAGAAATATTTTAACAATGAAAACCCAAATTAAAGATACATTATGGGAGATTAGATAACGAGTTGGCAGTGCTCACTATAATAGTTAAAAACTACATAATGTAAAGGCAACTTGGATATATACAGGGAGATTTGGGGTTATTCTTCTGAAAGTTTTTATTTAAACCTGTAACGGGTTATTCTTCCAGGGTAGGTTTTTTTCCCATAAGAAAACATGATATAAGGTTTTTCTTGTGGGAATTCTGGGATAATCTCA